ACTCTCCAAGCACTGAGCGCACGACCGATGCTGCTGGACCACCTCTGAGATGAAGCTTTGAGGCAAACTATTGCAAATTGAGTGGGTGGTGTCTCAACATCCTGCTATTTGGGGGGTACATAGGGTGGTCTTGCCTTCGAGAAGTACTCAAATAGCAGAAGACAAAACCACTTGGGGTTGTATACAAACCGCGCTCTTTTTGCTTGACCCGAAAAGTTGCTATCGTGTTATTCTCCTCTTATCGGCTTTCCAATGTTTGGGCCTTCTCCTTTTGGCTATTCCACCTAGAACCCCACGTTTTGCACTTCGCGGCGCACCAGGACATAACCTTCTGAGGCAGGGTTACAAAACAGCCCCACTTGGGTTGAATGCGACAAACAGCACTTGCTAGAATCAAGGAAAACACTCCTTCAACGAAATCAGTAGGAGAACAAGCATTTTTCCCACAGTAGATCTAGCCTTGTCTGAAGCTGACAGCTCACAACTCGGATGAGGCACTGCAAGGACCGGACCGCTGCTGCCGGCTCGCCTGCAATGGCAGCAGTCTCTGATGTGGACGTCATATATGGGTACAAGCTAAAGGACAACTCTGGCCTCCTCCACCAACTAACACAGAACCTCAACAAGGGTACTGTCAGCTCTACCCTTTTTTTAGAGGGGGGCTACATGAGGCTCCATGTGAGGTTTTGAAGAGAGAACTCTAGAGACGAAACGCTGCATGTGGACGGGGTCATTGCATGGTGGGTTTCTCCAGAACATAGAGACCTTGTATTGGAGATTATCAGGGTGGTTCCCCCTAGGGATTGTGTAGGGACTATTGTGATAAACTCCCGTGCGATGAACAAGCGCGAAACGAGAACCATGGTGGTGTTTGCAACATGATTGTCTATCGTCTCACAAAGCCATGCAGAGGATTCTCAAAAAAAATGACCATGCCTGTAGTATCCCTCGCTAGTAGGATCGGATCCCAGGAAGGAGCCCAGTTTTTCAATAACCTCTACCTCCGAAAATGAAGTCCCTAAAGCCCTCGAACACAAATCCCCACATTCCTGAACCCTAGCAACCACATAGCAGCATCTCAATACCTATATGACCCGTTGTCAAAACTCCTAGTATCCGCCTTAGTAACCCATGTAGTAATCCCCTAAATAATCTCCTTTTTGAACCTCTCTTTAAGGAGTTTAGACTATAGCTCATATAATCCCAAATAAGGAACCCCCATATTCCCTGTCCATTCCTTGAATTCCTAAGACCGCCCCTTTTTAAGAAAGTCCCACAGGCATACATGGTAGTTACTCACAATTCCTGTTTCCAGAATGGACATGATGGACAAGAATTCCCTAGATTTTTCTTCCTAGACCTGCAGGAACCCTAATCAATTTCCCCAACCGTACGTTTAAATCAACCCCCACATGTCGCATCGTGAGACCGGTCGCCTGCCGAACCCCAGAGAGCCGTTGCGAAATCCTGCGCGGCTTGCTGGCAGACAAGACACACGAGTAGCCACTGGTGGCTTAACCAAGTCAGATAGTAGTCCTCTTGTAAAATACACCATACCCAAGAGAGGAGGAGTATACGACTTTTGTCTACATTGATTCAAATGCTACTTACTCATAGAGAGTTCCTCCACAGACTGGCAAGCTCAGGAGGATTACAAGGAGATGGGTCCTGTTCAGGAGTTTCTTAATTGAAGTTTGGAAGTTCAGAGGTTCCGAGGTTCAGAAGTTCAGGGCCTAGTTGCCGGCCATGAAGCTGTGTATTCACATAAGTACTACTGCCAGGAATTCAATGCATGCGGGCAAGAGTCCGCCTGGCACTTGAGAATTCTAGACCCCAATCCCCTGCAACCACCTTTGCTAGCTGTTAACCCTAGATTCTAAACCCCAATCTCTGGCGCCAAACTGTCCAGTTGCTCCCAGGTGGGGGGTGCCGCAAGCAGAGCAACGAATCGGCCCATGTCGCAGTTCGATTTTCCCAGGTCCAGGCCTATGAACGGGTTTGACGTGTACAGTCCCCCTTAAGTAGATAGAATGTGGGGTGTATGGGGATCCTATAATGATATACCCAAAGCCAGATTCTATCTACGTAAGGGTGACTATAGGGTATGGGGTTTAGGGTGTTGGGTCTATAGCTTATGAACAGGGGAAGATTATACGGAGTAGAATTGATCTTGAGGGCTTTAGGCTTATAGACTCTATCAGGGGACTGTTCTAGGGTTTGAGGGTTGATGTCTAGGAGTTTGGGCTTACAGCTTTGTATTTAGGGGGCCTTTGTTCCTGGTTTCTAAGGTTTAGGCATTGATGTTTAGGGTGTATCTCGCTTTCTCCGCTACTTCAAGAAAACACATAGAACTGCTTTTCTGACCTTTTTGAAGCAAGCAATTCCCTAGAGAACCTCTGAAGGGGATTCACCACATGGAGCAACTAAACCCCAAAACATCCGTCCCCAAAATGCCTGAACGCTTCTTCTCCCTGAACCCTCCAAGCCCAAAATCCCCAAACCAAACCGCAACACGTCCCGTAGGGTTCTGACCGAGCAGCGCCAGCACAACCTCCGGGCACGAGTTTGAGGATTTTGCCGGGAGGTTTGAGGTTTGGTCTTCAGAGTGTGTGGGAGGATGGAGGTTTGGAGGAGGTGTATTGGGTTGAGGGTTTCAGGCGGCTTTGAGTGTCGTTAGGTTAGGACTTTGAGGCTGTTTCGGGTTAGGCAGTCTTGGGCCTTGGCCTCAAGCAAACCACTTCTCAACATCCGGGAACTCCTTTGGAATCATGATGCTCTTGTGGGGTGGAAGACCGCAAACAGACCCACCTTTTGTTCCCTCGTCCTCTTCTGCCCTCTTTTCCCAATCCCCGGACCCTCAAAGTGCAGAGCCCTACCCACTAAGCCCCCAGGCCCAACTCCAAGCACATAAAGCCTAATCCATAAACCTCCAACTCAGGTCCACATTTCGGAAGCCAAGGGCTTCCCCACCTGCACCACCATGCTGGAGGTGACCTGGTCCACATTGAGGCCTCCCGGAAGCTTTTGCGGTTTTTCCCTGGACTTTGGGCCTGGCCCGGTCAGTAAAAGGCACCCGGGTGTTTGCAATGGAGCAGTCACCACATTTCTAAGGTCTTATACAGCACAACTGGCCCCCTAGCTGGATTTACTTCTCAGGTGCCGAGGAGCCTTGCCTTTTACCATGGCCACCTACACCCTGAACTCTACACCTCGAAGCTCTAAACCCACAAGCTGAACACCCCCCCCAGCGCCGCACCCTCGACATAGCCCTGGAGACTGCAACGCGTCACAGATCCCAGCTGCTTCACCTGCAAAAGTGGCTTGAGCCTTGAAATTAAGCTTTGGGGCGTAGAGTTGACATTAGGACGGGCCAGGGCTCTTTTCTGTTTTCTGACCATGGGCCAAAGCAGGCATGAAGTCAGGTTCACCACGCATCCGACGAGCCATGATCCAGAAAAGTAGGTAATCGTTGAAATGCTGATAGGGACAGCGTTCCCAGAGCTGCACAAGAGAACATGCATGTGCGGAAATTAGGGTCCCCCGTACGCTTCCTTCAAATCACAGGGTTGACTGCAGGAATGTGCAACTGAGGGCTATATCTGCAAGTACTGGTATGGACACCCCAAGACCCAAAGCCTCAAAACCTGAACCCTGTAATTCTAGGCTGTTCAGCTGCTTTTCCAGGCATGTCGTATTTGCCGCGTGTTTCATGTGCTTGGCTACGAGAGGGATGCTGCGTAAAGTAACTTGCTTGGTGCACGGATACTACATCGCACCCGCCCAAGTCTTGCTGCTAATTTGCTATGGAAGGTTCCTATTGTCTTCAGACCTTCATAAACCCCTTCTCAAACCGTCACGTCATGTGCTTGGCTACGAGAGGGATGCTGCTTAAAGTAACTTGCTTGGTGCACGGATACTACATCGCACCCCCCCAAGTCTTGCTGCTAATTTGCGATGGAAGGTTCCTATTGTCTTCAGACCTTCATAAACCCCTTCTCAAACCGTCACGTCATGTGCTTGGCCACGAGAGGGATGCTGCGTAAAGTAA